AAAAATATTGAACTAAATGTCGCAATATGATTGGTTAATGATACTAATTTATCATAGTGGTCCCGGTTGGAGTATCCGCACAGTAATACTCGAATAAGAGATAATCCATGTGTACGACAGAGATATTGTAATTAATCGATGACAGTTTCGTTGCGATGTTTCTTTCGATCTTATCGTTTCTCTTTATCTTGGCTCTAGTTTCTGAATCACAAGGTGAGTATATTCTTCCTCGTTTTTTCTTCCTTCCTTCCTTTCGTTCAGTTCTTTCATTCTTTCAGGTATTTTTCTATTTCCTCTAGAAGCACTTATTTCAGCACAAGAAAACTGTGATCATGTGCACAAAAGAATTGTTACTTGATCTTCGTCAAGCACTGAAATCACAACAAATCAAGGCCAAGTGGCATTCGTAACTATGATTCTCAACACTCAGTGCACAACCTTGTTCAACAATGTACACTTAGCTGGAAAATCTATACTTTTAAAGAGACTACATTTCTTAGATCAAAGCAATTTTGTCTAGGACGAGCTGTATTATTATCATAGTGTTATGAATTTTTTAGCGTTCGCCTATGATCGATATTTTGTTTGTTCTATACTTTGTTTACTTCTGCTGTTCTATTGTAGTGACTGTACAAAGTAGGTGCTTCAAATATTAACGAGTCAAGCTTCAAAAGGAATAGTTCCGAACATAAAGTAACCATACTATCTATGATTTCTGATATTCCGGCCCTATCTAGACCCATCATTGCAGCATTTCCGGGCAGCCGTACACCGCTTATTTTAATGATGATAGTCACAAAAAACCTACGAAACTGCTATCACTGAGGATCATGGGAAACATTTCATATTAAAAAAGTAAAGCTTTTGATGCTCACAGGAGGTGAAAAGTAAAAGGTGAAACTGGTAAAGGTCTCAAGTCCATTAATAGTTATCGAGCGGTTGAAACATGTAAAAATATATCTATCCATAAGAATTGCTGGTCTCAGTTTTTTGTATCTTTTCAGCTGCCCAAAATTGTTTTGAATGCGAAATTTTAATTTAGGAGGCGAAACAATGGAATCCCGGAGAATTAAAAATGATTGTTTTGTCCTCTGAATTAAGCTGATCTGGGGATTGCTTAAGTCCCGTTTACACTGGCGATTTTTGCGGCTATTTTTGCTGCGATTTTTTCGGCAATTTTCGGAAATATGAAAACTTTTGTCTCATCCTTAGAAAGAGACATTCGTCTAGGAAAATCTTGGTATCCTGAAATAAACTTTACAAGTAAATTCTTTACCACTATTCATTATGGACAAAATCGCAAAAAAATCGCAGCAAAAATCGCAGCAAAAATCGCAGCAAAAATCGCCGCAAAAATCGCCGCAAAAATCGCCGCAAAAATCGCTAGTGTAAACGGGGCTTTAGCCTCCTTTGCAGCCGTTCTTAGGGTCGTCAAGCAACAATTCCCTCCCACCCTAGGAACGGCTGCAAAGAAGGCTAGGAATTACTGCTAGGTTTCTGTTTTGGCATCACTTTAAAACATTTCCCCAAACCTCAGCTGTAACTTTTTTCAACTCAATTGGCTCTTAATTACAGGGAGTCCTTCTTATTCTTTACATGAACAATTTCTTTGATAAACGAACTCTATGCATACAAATAAAATTGCTGACATTTTACTTAGTAAGCTACAAAGAATAACTGAATGGATATGAGGAAAACTGGAATGTGTTGTTATCCATTCGGGATCTCAGCCCTACGATGTAATAACCAGCGGTTTCGTTTGATAGTATGGTATGCATACAGTCAAAATATTACTTTGCAATATTTGCCGATACGACGGAGTACATTCGGGATATCTTGTGTGCTCAAGAGAATAATTAGAGGAGATGGAGCTAATTGAAGTGTATTGTTATGCATTATGGATCTCCTACGACGTACAATGAACAAAAGTTTCCATGATTATATTGTTTCGTTTTATAGTAGTATAGCAGTATGTCTTATATTAACGAGTGCGGGGGCAGTGAGCGCCAAAAACTATTTTCTTGAAGAAAGGCTGTTGTACAAGGCTAAAATCTTGTTATTCAGAAAGTTTAACTTGTTTGGAAGTGGAGATGACCGATGAAAGTGGAATCAAAGTGTTAACCCAAAGCAAAAATTTGAATCGAAAATGAGGTTTAGGCCTTCATTTGCTTATTTCCCATATATTTTGTTATAAAGAAGCCTGACAAAGTAACATTCTAACACAAATGCAACAAAATATCTTTGTACAATTGAAAATACCACTTCAAACAGGCGTTTTATCATAGTACATCAGTTTCTAACCGTTTAAAATAAGGTTTTGAGTGTTAACCCAAAACGAAAATTGGGATAAAAACTCATACGAAAATCTACGGTTTTTAGCCATTTTTGCCATTATTGCTCATTATTGAAAAAAATTTCCTCTTAATACATTACAATTTTTCTTGAAGCTGCTGGCTGTCGTACACTGGAATTCAGAGCAACCGTCAGTGGAAAGGCATTAACCAATCACACGATTCGTACGATCCAACCAATCAGAGATGCCCAGACATGCAGAACGAAATGTTATATGGAGCCGCTCTGCTTTGCTGTTAATTTTTGTCATAATGATGGAAGCGAAACTGTGTGTGAACTGTTGAACAATACATCGACTATCGTCCATGATAAAGACTTGGTCAATAAAAAAGAATGTACTATCTACCTTTCAAAGGTAAGCACGAAGAACCTTAGCTTCCCTACCCCTCTAGGTATATATATGACAATCCTCCAGATATCTAATACCTCTGCGTACTCACTTTGTATTCAATAGAGTTCTTGTTCAAGCTCTCCTTGTCCTAGCAACGCCAGTTGCCATGGTGATTTCTTGCGGGCTTCTGTGTTGTACAAGTGCATCTGCCCTTCTGGTTTCACGGGGAAATTCTGTGAATCAGGTTATATTATTGATCAGAATATATATATTATTTCACATCGTTTATACGCTTTCTGTAGTGACTATTCATAGCATACATACTAGCAAACAGTGCATTCATTTCTGAGATTTGACTTTTAAATTCTTTGAGAAATTTAAAGACAAAATTAAGGATTTACACTTCCAGAGGTGGTAGGTACAAAGTAGCCCAAACCCGGCCTTCCTCTCTGAAGATGACAATCCGTTAAAATTGGAAACTGATTATTCCTAGTGAAGTAATTTAACGATGAATATAGATGATTTTCAAGAACTACTCTACCAAAAATTCTGCATTTTAATCACGATATCACCAAATAAATTTGGTTTAAAAACTAAAGGGTTGAGTATGTGGCGTCATTTACTCACAGTTTAGATGCTAAAATAATTGATAAATTTTATCTGCCACTTTTGACTGTGAAAAAAATATGTTGCTATGGCGACTATTGGGGCCATATAGAAAAGTTTAACCAAGTTTACAGTTATTTCCAATTTTCATCCCAGTGCCCCTTTTATACCCTTAGTATATTAGTGCTGTTTTTCTCACGTAAAGACGGACTCCAAGGAAAAATTTCCTTTTCTGATGAAACCCTATGCTAGCTCAACAGCTCGGGTTTCTCAAAACTTCAATGTACTGATTTTCTTTCTTTCTTTTTTTTACGCTAGACATCGACGAGTGCGCGCCGAACACTAGTTACTGCCACAAGGATGCTACGTGTAACAATTCTATTGGTAGTTACAGCTGCAAATGCAAAGGCGGATACCATGGCAACGGCAAAACCTGTCAGGGTTGGTGACCACTTTGAATATGACGTAAAATCGCAGAGAAAATTGTTTGTTTAGGTTATCCAACAGGGCGGCTTTGAATTATTAGTACCTATCAATGGTCTATCACAAATCCTGCGCCCTGATTGGCCGATGGAGGTACTTGTGCGTCTATTAGAGATAGACCACTGTAGCGAAAAGTAACAGTTTTGAAAACCAAACCAAAGTAACAAATATATTTATAAACCTAATTTTAACATTTGGCAATTAATTAGTTTATACTAAAATAATTAGACCTTCGACCTTTCGTCGACTCGTAGACCATCGGGCCGGCTGCGGGTTTAATTGTTTTTATAATACATTCAACAAAATTACTCGATTCTGATTGGATAAGAGTAGTACAATTAAATCCCAAATTATACTCTGTAGAGTCCTTATTAAGTTGCTCAATTTTGTTGAGTGTATTATAAACAAAGAATCGCACAATCGTCTCGTACAATTCGGAATTTATAAATACTCGTGATGTTTTGAAAGTTCTCAAATAGAGAGTTTTCACTTGACGTCACGACGGCCATCTTGGTGTAGCAAATTACATTTATATCCTCCGGGAATTGAACCCTTATTTTTATGCAAAAACTGTGCATACAGTTTCTATTGTTCGGTACACCAATATAGCTGGGGTGAAAAGCTTGATTGGCGACTTTCAAAATATCACTCGTACCTATAAATTCCGAATTGTACTCGAGATCGTGCGATTTCCTATACAATTAATTCAAATAGTCGCCCATATTAATGCTTTTGTCTTATACAGACATCGACGAATGTGAGTCCAATACTCATAATTGTGATGCGAAGGCGCTTTGTAACAACACTAGAGGTGGATTCACTTGCAAGTGCAAACCTGGCCTTCTTGGGAACGGGACTTTCTGTCGATGTAAGTTATTAAGTTATTGGGAGACTTGAATTTCCCCTCATCCCTAAATCAATATTTTCAGTATTGATTCTATATGAAGGAAATACTTGAATGGTATATAACAAGTTTGCAATAAAATTTCTATAAACCTTTAGTAAGACAATATTTTATACAGGATATTTTACTGCCCCAGAATTTTTTTGTATATTTAATAATGCCTCCTATGATGTCACATCATTAACATATTGGAAGTATAAACCTTGATATCTCCAAGATGCACCACTCAAATCAAGAAATATTTTACCATTCAACTATTCACTTGAGGTAGAATCAATTCTGAAAATATTGAGTTAGGGGTGAGAGGGACACTATCTACGACGGCGACAATGAAACTCTCTTAAAATAATCATTTTCCAGATCCTGAGAATTGCGAAGACATTCGTGTAAATCATCCGTAAGTATAAGAAAGTGCATGTGTGCATGTTACGTCATAGCCGCCATGTTGGATGATTTCCTTGTAAACAAAAGATGTTGTTTTCAATGCCTTTGTCGTATTATTGGATGGAGAAGCGCATTTATTCTATCTTCAATGCATAGTCTTTACTCTTTCTTTCTTTTTTTTAGTTATCCCAAAGACGGATTTCATAACTTGAAAACTGCCGAGGGAAGTGTGGTAGAAAGGTTATGCGTGTTTTCAGACTCTTATGAGTGCGGTTCTGGTTTTTGGGTGTTGGCTTTAAAACTTAATGGCCAAAAGGTATGTTAATCGCTCCTCGTAGTTACGTTTGCTATGTCCCACAAGCTCAACAAAAAAAGCTAGAATATCTCCGTTGAGATTGTCGTTTGAAAATATAAGAAAAAATTGCATCGTAATTCTTCGAGTACTCTTTAAATGAGATATGATTTTTGGGACGCATAATATTATACTAACTTTGACTCATGGTTGTAAGCTGCACAACTGCTAAAAGCTCCTTAATATGCAGCCTTTAAAGAGGGTGCCAATGGGCTTAGTAGTTAATCGATTTGTCCAAAAAACAAAAGCAAAAAAAAACAAACAAACAAACAACAACAACAACAACAAAAAAACAGTAGTTAACTCGACAAATAACCTAAAATAAGTATTTAATATTAATAGTCAACGAATTCTTTTTTTTTTTGGCTAGCGCTCGTAAAATTATTACAGTTAACTGACATACGCGGGCCGAAAAATTAGTAGTTAACTGACAATTGGGGATACCCCCATTGGCCGCACCCTCCTTAAATTCCTCAACTGGTCACAAAATGTAAAGCGCATTGAGACGATGTGAAAATGCGCTATATAAGAACCTCCATAATTATTCCAATTTTTAATTTTTGGGGACAAAATATCAATTCTACTGGAAAAACTGTTGCAAACAAGAAGGTGATTGGTTCGCTTTTGTCTCGGGGAACTTTCCATCCGATGGTGCTACCAGCAGTTTTGTAAATTCCGTAAAGATATTCGTTCTTGCAGTAAATCACAGTTTTTCTTTCTTTACTCATATATTTCTCTGATCTTCGACGATTATGGTGTGATGAAGACCGGAAATGGATACACTTCGCCTCTTTGGACTAGTGACAGTGCGATCAATCAAAGTTTATACAAGACTACCTTCGAAGACGACAGCATCGAAATTAAGCTGCCTGCCTTCTGGGAACACCCTGTCAAAAAAGTATGTCTTGGAATGAAGTATTTGAACGTGCTTAAGTGGGTCTCTGCCACAGTCAATGCTTCTTCTTTGCGATCTTTGTTTGAGAGTGAAAAGGAGATCCCTACTAATAGCAGCAGAGCAAAATGGACATCGTTGTTAAGTGGGGCCAAACTTCAAAGGAACTGTAACAAGTAAGTCTCCTTAAAAACTATTCACTTTTCTTTTTGGGGCTATACAATGTTAGAAACACGTGAGCAGTTGACTGATATGCAGATGAAAAGACAAACAGATCATATCGGTATACGGACAGACGGACAGGCAGCCAGCCGGCCCGCCAGTCAACTTTTATCGATATTCTAAATAGCGTAGCGCAGTGATTCTAAATATAGTTTAAAGATTCGGACAAACATTGCATTCTGTTTAACCGCTACGAGGATTATACGAACCGATTTTATTATTTTTACTTAAAGTTACAATAATAACCC